GCGGGATCCTCGTACAATTCTTGAACGTTCATGACGGGAGTATGGTTGAATGGTTCTCTTTTCAATATCTTTTATACTTTGCAAAAACCTTTTTTCTTTGTATTGTTCTTGCTGGTCTGCCTCTCTGGTCTGCTTTATGGTTTGGTCTTTTCATTTATCTTGGCTCTGTTTTTTTCTTGGTACCTCCGCCAGCTCTCTTGACGTTTGTCTTTGTTTTCCAGACACCATTTCCTGTTCTGCATGGCCTTCCTCTCTTTATTTTCCGGTTTGGCATACCATTTTCTTTGCCTTTCCTTTCTTTTTTCTTTCTGCTCTTGGCTCAGGTTCTTCCACAATTTACGGCTCGGTACGGGCATGATGGACTAATGTCGTTGTGCAATAATTTTTTGGGGGGTCACGCGTTTTGACTAGAAATGATGGTGCAATACAAAACTGGTTTTTACAGATTTGTTTCATTCTGTTGCTGCAATACTTGACCCTACAAAAAAAAGCAGCGATATGCTCATTTTTATCATTCGAAGCCATGGATCTACAAGTACCTTCCCTTGCCGTTCTTTCCGCTGAAAATGCCACTCTAAACGATCAACTACAATGGCTGTACGATTTTCCCTTTGCTGCCCTAATCAGAAGGCCTATTTTTCAGACCGCGTTGAATGACATCCTTAAGTCGCTGACCCCAAATCAGCTTTTAGAGTACATGGACGACCGCCCCTACAATCCAGCTATGACGGACAGAATTGTAAAAGAGATGTTTCGGCGATTTTCTTTGGACACCTTGGAACTAATCTCCAGGAGTTTCCATGTAGATCACCCGTTTGCCAAAGCCATGGATTTTGCAATCCAAAAACGTCGAATGTCAGGTACGGTGGTTTTATTAAATAGATGGATAGTCCATACTTTTCCTCAATTGTATCCCGTAAAAAAGGTGTTTTTATCCTCCATTAGGGAATACGGATCTTGTTTTTGGTGTGACGGCTAAAACTTCGTTTTTCTCAATTATACAGGAAGTCACATTGTTTGCAATCAAAACAGATTTAATAAAAGATTTATTGCTCCTTATCCTTGGTACCACGTTGAGGACAACATTCAAACGATTCGATTAGGCTGTTGTATTTGCTATGCACATGTGCGTTCTATTTATGACATGGATATTCCATGCGGTGGATGCCAGATGATGATGGACCTTGGTTTAGAATTATAAATGTTTTGACTTTTTCAGTACCTATGAAAATCTTGGTTAAAAGAATGGAACTTTGGCGAAACACAAGACAGGGACGCAATTATGTGTGGAACTCACCCCGCGCCATTTACATTACTGATTCTTTTGCAGACACGTTTCACATCATGGAGTGTTTCGTAGGACAAAATGACAACAGAACAGGGTACACATACTTTTAATTTTTAATTTTTTTGCAGTCACAATCCTTTGGGTTACGACACATCATGTAAAAGAATGCGTCTTAAAAACGTACCGTTTCCTTTTTCAGTCTCCAACCTTGTCATAAACAACAATGAAATCAATTACCACACAAGGGATGGCAAATTACGAATGCAATGTAAAGACTGTGGTATTCACGTCAGACCTATAACCATGATCTGTCAACCCTGTGGAGGATGTGAACTTTATTGTTTTGAAGACTTTCTTGATTTTATGTTAGACGATTAAAAACACTTTTTATTTTTTTTAGAATCGATTCACGTTTTATCTCACTACTTTATTTTCGCAATTGGCCTTATGAAAGACAAATTTCCGTCGTGATGCCTGGCAACTGGTGTTTACCCCTCAAGGACACAAATCTTTCGCCTTCCCTTGTATCTATGGACCATGGTGGTCGACCCTGGATGATTATCCTTAATTTTTTAATTAACAGAACTGTGTTTATTCAATTTTTAGAAACCGTTCATGTTTTGAACTATTATCCCATATTTCGAAATTGGCCTCTTAAGGGAGAACTATGCCTTTTGATGCCGGGCATCCACGTTGTACCTATCAAGACAGATCTTTCTCCTTTTATTAAACAAACGATGTTTTAATTTTCATAGATTTAACGGATAACTACATAAATCACTGGACTGTGCTGAAAAGTACGCCTCTGGAACCAGAAAAACTCATTCGTTTTCGAAAATACAATTCACCAGTGTCATTAGAGGACACCTTTTTAGTTTTTTATAAAACCATAAACTGTACACAAGTCAAAGTAGTCATTGTAGATTTGTAATCTTTTTTTCACAGAGAGATTTTTCAACATAGTTCGACAAAGAGATTGGTGTATGATTCCATGGACCGTGACAGGCATAAGTCATTACCTTTATTGCCCAAAACGAAGACATTTGTTCTTGTCCTCCAAAATACACAAACACTGGAAAAGAAATCGATATAATCTTTTCCACGATTGGTAACTTTTTTTCAGACGGGTTTTTCAAAACAGTGCGTGAAGGAGAGTGGTCTTCTTTTCCATGGTCTATTACAGGGATTAATCATTACATCACATGGCCAAATAAAAGACATTTAATGTACCATCGAAATCCACTTATACTTTCATCACTTTCCAAATTTAGTTACTTGCGTTATGTATGTCACCATTATTAAAAATCATATTATGTTTTTCCTTTTTTGACAGAATTCTTCGTGCCACTGATTGTTCACCGTTGTCATGATCATAAATCGTCTCTGTTGGTGCTCAACAAGCAATTATATTTCATATTGTGTTTATAAATGATTTTAAAAAATGTAAAGGATATTGTGTTTACAATGGTTTTAAACAATGTAACACCTAGCTAACCCTACCAAAAAACGTTGTCAAGAATTCACCAATCCTCTTGGTTTTTTTATAGACATATCATTTGACATTCAAGTTCCTACATGTCACGACTATCGTCCATCTTTGGTCAAATTATGTTGGTGTTCTACAAAAGCGGGTTGGAGACAGTGGACACCGACTCAAAGGGGTGCTTTTGTTAGACGATGTAGAGAACTCAATCATTATTCGCCAGCATTAATTACTGCGGTTCAGTTTCTTTTTTTTATGACCGGAATTTTTTCATAAAACATTGCAATTTGTTTTACAGATTTCTTCGTTCCACTAATTGCCCACGGTTGTCATGGACATAGACCCTCTCTTGTTAAACTTTGTTGGTGTTCCACGTGCGACAACAACGGTTTCGTAGTCACGAACTTCACGATCAATTTTTAGATCAATTTCTTTTTGGAAATGTCTTTGAACATTAAGTCAATTTCTTTTTTTTAGAACTGTCATTCAACATTAAGATTCACCAATGTCACGTATACTGTCCTTCTCTGGTAAAATTATGTTGGTGTTCTACCGGAAAAGGATGGAGCAAATGGTCCACCAAACGTAAATTCATTCAACGCTGTCACGCACTAGGAAGGCATCCCATTCTTGTTAATTTTTTAAGACCTGTACGATAAATGAATATTTGAAAGGGCGTGACGTCACTAGGGCGTCACACACGTCCCGATTGTAACGCTAGGTATGACGTCAGAATAAAATTGGTTGAAACGTGACTTTTCGTGTGTCTTACATGACGGGGGAATGTTGGGAGACTTTTCGTGATGGTTTTACATGTGGTACTAACCCCCATGAAATCCTGGACGCTGATTGGTCAATTTAGGTCACGTGGTCTAAATACTCGATTCTGATTGGTCGTGCCGCCCAGTAGCGACTATTACTACTAACTTAATGTGCCAAAAGGTATCAAATTTCCAGTAAAAATAAAAGACATTTCCAAATTTGAATCACTTGATCCAGATTTACCAGGAATAAATGTTTTTTCAGTAAACGAAAACAAAAGGTTTTATCCATTTAGAATGGCTAAAACAGATCCCCAAAAAACAATAGGTCTTTTTCTTTATGCTCCTGAAGTGGAAAGCGGGGGGGGGGCACAGGGGGCAACAGCCCCCAGTATCATTATTCACTAATTAAAAGTTTTTCTCGTCTTTTTCGTTCCCAAATAACATCTCGATCAAACGAACCGTTACATATCTGTAAGCGATGTTTTACTCATTTTACAAAAGGAGAATTATTAATAAAACATATCCGATATTGTTCATCTAATGAAACAGTTTCTGTAAAAATGCCTCCTAAAAATACATTTATTAAGTTTAAAAATTATAATAAACAATTTCCAATCCCTTTTGTAATTTATGCTGATTTTGAATGTTTTACTAAACCAATGAGTAATTGTTCCCCTAATCCAGAGGATTCATACACTTATAATTATCAAAAACATGAACCATCAGGTTTTTTTTTTTATATTAAGGGAATAGTCCCAAATAAATTTAAACCAATTATTTATACTAAGAAAAACTCCGATGATAACTTACCTCTTATTTTTGTTAATAAACTAGAAAAGGTTACAAATAAAATTTATGAAGATTTTTATATGAGATCAGAACATATTAATATTACTCAGAAACAATACAGGGAGTATAGTAAATCTACTGTTTGTCATATATGCAACAAAGAAGTAATTCCTGAAGATAAAGTTTGTGATCATTGTCATTTTACAGGGGAATATCGTGGTCCAGCTCATCGAAATTGTAATCTACAATGTCGAAAACCAATGATAATTCCAGTTATATTTCATAATCTTCAAGGTTATGACGCACATTTGTTTATAAAACAGTTGGCGAGTATTAAGGGAGATTTTACTTGTATACCATCAACTGAAGAAAAATATATATATTTTCTAAAAAGGTAAAAGTTGATGAATACCAAAATAAACATGGAAAAACTGTAGCTTTAAATTTTGAGTTAAGATTTATAGACTCATTTAAGTTTCTTCAAACTAGTCTTGCTAATCTTGTAAAAAATTTACAACCAGATGATTTGTTAATACCAAAGAAATATTTAGAGATAAACCAGATTTATTAACACGTAAAGGAGTTTATCCTTATGATTGTCTCTTCAATATGTAAATTTGATGAAACACAACTTCCTTCAAAAGACGCTTTTTACTCAAAACTAAATAATGAAGATATAACAGATGAAGAGTACCAACATGCCCTAAATGTATGGAATGAGTTTCATTGTAAAAATATACGAGATTATCATGATTTATATCTCAAGTCTGATGTTTTACTGTTAGCAGATGTATTTGAGAAGTTTAGAGCAACTTGTCTCCACCATTACAAACTTGATCCTGCCCATTATTACACTTATCCTGGATTAGCTTGGAATGCATGTCTCAAAGAAACCGGTCAAGAATTAAAACTGTTGCATGATTACGATATGTTAATAATGTTTGAACGTGGAATACGGGGAGGAATATCACACATATCAAAGCGATATGCTGAAGCTAATAACAAATATATGGATAATTATGATCCCAATAAACCATCTTATATTCAATACCTCGATGCAAATAATCTTTATGGATGGGCAATGTCTCAATCACTTCCAACAGTTGGGTTTAAATGGATGAAAAACCTTACAGTAGATTCTGTTATAAAAATTTTAGAAAAAGGGAGGGGTTATAGGGGAGGCGTAGGCACGGTAGGTTCCCCTGGATATATATTCGAAGTAGATTTGGAATATCCAACTGAGTTGTGGGATCAGCATAATGATTATCCTCTTGCACCTGAACGAATAAAGATTGATGGTGTTGAAAAACTAATTTGTCATTTTAAACCAAGAAAAAATTATGTTGTACATTACCAAAATTTAAGACAATATCTTGAAATGGGAATGATACTAACTGCTGTTCACAAAGGAATATCATTTAAACAGTCTCCTTGGATGGAACCTTACATAAGAAAAAATACAGAACTTTGAAAGTGTGCTTCAAACAGTTTTGAAAAAGACTTTTTTAAACTAATGAACAACAGCGTTTTTGGTAAAACAATAGAAAACATAAGAAAAAGACAAAACATAATACTTGTGGATGATCGTGAAAAAGCCTTAAAATTATCAAGTCGTCCAAACGTCCAAACTTTGATAGATCAACAATATTTGATCCCAATCTTGTTGCAATTCATATGAAAAAAACCGAAGTGTATTTTGACAAACCAATATATGTTGGTCAAGCAATACTTGATTTATCAAAAACGCTTACGTTTGATTTTCATTACAATTACATTCTAAAAAAATACCCAGCAGGCGCAAGCGGGGAGGCCCAAGTATTGTTTGCAGATACTGATAGTTTAATGTATCAAATTCAATCAGATGACTTTTACGAAGATATATCTGAAGATATTGAAGATAAATTTGATACATCAGATTATCCAACAGATCATAAATCTGGTATACTAACAGGAGTTAACAAAAAAGTAATTGGAATGTTTAATGATGAAGTAGCTGGTCAACAAATTACTCACTTTGTGGGATTGCGCCCTAAGCTTTATAGTTTTAAAATAGAAAACAACCGGGAGGATGTACGAAAATGTAAAGGTATAAAAAAAAATGTTGTAAAAAAGAGTTTATCTTTTCAGCAATATGTACAATGTTTATTTTCTGGTGAAAAACAAATGAAGTCTATGAAAATTATTCGAAGTGAAAATCATGACATTTACTCAAAGGAAATAAAGAAGGTAGCATTAAGCGCTGATGACAACAAGCGTATTGTGATGGATGATAAAATAAATACTTTAGCAATTAGATAAAAGCAGGCAAAGCAGCAGGGGGTCTTACGGGGATGCAACCACCTATATAATAAATGGCTTACACAAAAGAGCAGATAGAAGAATTAAAAAAAAAATTGGATAATTATAAAAAACAATTAGAGGAGACACTTTCACCAGACGACGCGGACGCGAGTAACCGCTTTAGATGTTGGAATTGTCACTGTGATGATTTTTATGTTGAATCTGGTTTTTACATGTGTGAATCATGTGATTCATCTAATGGACATGCTCTTGGATATTATGATATGAAAGAGTATGATAGATTTCATTATCGTAGAAAGAGTATATATCAGATAAAGTATCATTATGAAAATAAAGTAAAAGATATTTCTAAAAGAATATTATTAACTGATGATGAGCAATATAGTTTATACAATAAACTAATGGAAATAGACCAAGAAACTATTACTAAAATAGATGAACATTTTAATCGCAAAAGAATGATAAGTGTTTTTTACCTGATCAAAAAACTTCTCGAAGAAATGGGATGTGAGAAATACCATCAAATTGGTCTTAAGCTTTCTAAACAAACATTTGCTAATTATGAAAAGTGGTGGGAGTATTATAAATCTTTGTGCAACCCCCATATAGAAAGACCAGTAAGCAATACCAGTTAAAAAACCAATTGTACTATAATTTTTAAAAGGGAATCAAATACATAAACACTTCCTCTTCCTTTATGATATTTTTTCCAAAATTCTTTAAAAGCAATACTAAATATTAGATGATTAACCAATATTGCAGATACTCCACTTTTAACTAAAGGTGGTTTTGGGAAGGTTGCATTTCCTATAACAATAATATCATCAATATTGATATTTTTACTCAATAAATTGAAGCATAAAAACTTATAAACAAGACAAGCCTTAATAAAGTTATTGTCATAAAAATCTGTTTTACTCTGAGGAAAGTAGTAATTGACATAAGCAACAATACGGTCTAACATTTCTATATTATAAACATATAGAAATGCTATAAAATTTGATTTAAAAAGATAAAATTATTAATTAGTAATCATGTGGGAGAAAACTTTTAAAAATGCAAAATTAGGATTTGAGTTGACTTCATATATTGATGATAAAAAAATATTTGGTTTTTAGGAAAAGATGTTGCTAAGATCCTAGGTTATAGTGATACTACACAAGCTATTAGAAAACATGTAGATGATGAGGATAAATATAAGGGGGGCGTCGAGACGACGGGGGGTTTGCAACAATCTTTTTTTATAAATGAATCTGGTTTCTACTCACTTGTATTGTCCTCAAAATTAGAAACCACTAAAAAGTTCAAAAAATGGGTTACATCACAAGTTCTTCCATCTATCCGTAAATATGGTTACTACAAACTTTTTGAAAACCCTAATAATAGAATGTTTAAGATTGAAAATGAGATGGACCTCCACTGTAAAGTTGTTCACCTAATTAGAAATTATTATCCAAATGCTATTATGGTAGCAGGACTTGGGGAAAACCAAGATACACCAAACAAAAGAATTAAAAGTTGGAAAAAGGGCCATATGCGAGGACAACCAGACCTTATGTTACTTAATTATCATAAAGATTATAATGGTTTATGTACTGAGTTTAAATCTCCAACTAATAATTACCAAATTTCAGATGCACAAAAACAAATGAAAGAAAGATGTAAGGAAAATTGTTACAAATTTATTCTTAGCAATGACTATGATTATATATGTATGCAGTTAAGAAGATATAACGAAGAGACAAAATTCTCTGTTACTCCGAGTTTCGTGCTCACGCACTCATCAGACAGTATTTATGTATGCAGTTACATAAATATATGGCTGGTGTTCGTGTTCCTTGTAAATATTGCACAAGAGCATTCCTTAATAAAGAAACATTGGAAAAACATTATAAAGCTATACATCGAATTGAAAAAGGCATTTAATTTCTATATATTGCATATATAGAAATAAAATTCTTATAAAGGGAGGGGGGCTCAGGGGGAACCGTAGGTTTCCCCGAACTTTTTACTATACCTACTAGCAAATCTATCTGCTATAGGAGTCTGATCAATTATCATTTCATCTATTAGTTTCATTCGATCAATAAACTCTTGCTTTTTAAAATCATCTCCCCTTAGAGCTGATCTCAGTTCCACAAGCACTTTTTCATACGTAGTAAATGCAATCCTTGACATTTCTATTTTTTTCTTATAATTTTTTTTCTTTCTAATACCCGCAACAACAACCCCAGAACTATTTATAACTCCGAGAACAATTGGGTTTAGAGTTATTCCACCAACAATTGTGCCTACAGCTACTAAAAATATTCCAGAGATCGTAAAGCCATCATCAAGAATTTTATATCTCTTGTACGACCTCTTAAACCACCAGTATTTTTTGTGATAGTGGCTGTAAAAGTCTTTTAGAGTCTTAATATCAGATTCTGACAGTGATTTATCAATGTGATTGAATTCAAAGATGTCTTTCATTTTAATGAATTATTATATTAATGCGGTGAAGATAAGGGAGGGAGTTATAGGGGGAACCGTAGGTTCCCCTATTCTATATAAGTGCCAGATAGTTTTTCTTGTATCATAATCTTGTGATACTGAACTGAATCGAAATCGTAAAAGTTTTTAGAGTACATAAATTTAACCAATATCGCGGCATCTGCCGTAAAACCAAATTGTAATCTATCATTTGAAATCGCGTTTGATGCCTGGTTTAATTTTGCGCTGTAGTTACAAATACTTTCTTTTGTTATACTAAAATTACTGTTTTCTGTTAACCATAAAACTATTTTATCTTTATCATTAAGTGAATAAGTAATATTTGTACTACCTCGATTAGTTGTCAAGATTAACGTATTTGTTCTTTTGTCATATTCAAGTTGGGTTTTTTGATTGGTGTTTTTTACAACAGAAAAAAGTTTAAAACTAAGTGACCAACTCCTCAGTATACTACTACTAGATGTATAAGGATTTTTTATTACAAAGCATATTGTAAAGTTTCTGCTGTGGGGAACAGTTATTGTACAACCGTAACCATTTACGAGAAGTCCTCCCTCTTTTATTCTATCTATATTTTTGGTGGGAAATATAAAATTTGGGTTTACTCCATTAAAACTAACTCCTGACGAAGATGTAGATTGTTTATAATTGCTTGCATCACTAAAATCATAAAATTCTTCAAAATACTGTCTATAAAGATTGTTTATGGTATAATTATTCATACTTTTTATCTGGCCTATTGTGGCGGCACTACTATTATCATTTGGATCGATTTTAATATTTTTGATTACTTTTTGATTTGCATTAATATCAACGTTATACACCAATTCTGTTGGGTGGATATCAAATGCTGTGTGATAGTCATAGGTTTTATCTGGATCAATATTACTAACTGTACCCACAATACCATAAGTAACCATGTAAACTCCTGAAAACTGCCTCGGACAGCCAGATCAGTTCCATCTTGTGGTATATTAACCAAAATGTGAAGAAAGAACTTATTACCAGATGACAACTTCCGGAAATTAACTATTATTCTATGGTAATACATAAATTGTGTTTGACCCTTTGAATCGCTGTACCTATGGGAGAGTTTTCTTACACTAACATTTCCAATTGATAATCCTGTTGAAGTTCCTTTATCCACAGTTATTTGAGACTTATGCCACAGTTGATAATCAGTGTTGAGTATTTCCAAACACAGCGTGTAATCAGCATTTGCAGTTAACCAGTAAAAGTTAATTCCCATCTTATACTTACATCCACCTTGGGAATTTTTGTTTATTGTTATGAAAATTACTTTGTGGTTATAGTCATGAAAATTACCTTTAGAAGGAGATAAGTCTCCTATTCTTGACACAAAAAAACTAGTTCCACTATCTATTTCATCAGTCCATTGAGACCCACTAGACATAAGATACGCAAACTGGTTGTTGTAATGACTTGGTTGAACTGCAGTATGATGAACTAGTTTGTCAACATAATCTTTAATTACCGCTTCATTGTCTTGGGTTGGATTACTCAAATTCTTTATTTCATGACTGTTAAGATTCAAGTCTCTAGTAATAGCGACGGTACCATCTATTTCCAAATAATCACTCAAATCTGGGGCAACTGTTTTATCATCAACATATTTTTTTTGTTGCAGCATCTGTGATTGACACTGGAGTTGCGAGACCAACTATTTTTTTGTTTCCAAAGATTTAGGTTACCAGTCATTGTTACACTTCCATCTATTTTTATAAGATAACTAGTATCAGGTATTGAGTCATTCACATACTTTTTGGTTGCAGCATCTGCGTCATTTGTTGGCGGCCTTAAATGAATTATACCTTTATTATCCATGTTTAGATTATTAGTCATTTTATTTGTTCCAGCAACGTGGAGATATCTTGATTCAGTAAAAGATAATGGTGTTGGTTGTTGGTTACCAGTTGGAGCTGGTAGATGATATATTCGATTGTTGTTCATATCTAGATTTCCAGTCATTTTTTTGGTTCCATCTAGTTTTAAAAAGACACTACCATCGACTTTGGAGTCGTCTACATATTTCTTAGTTGCAGCGTCATCATTGGTTGAGGGTGTAGCAAGTTTAATTATGCGATTGTTATTCATGCTCAGATTTCCAATCCTTGTTTGGGAACCATCTCTGTCAAGAAATGTGCTGTCTGCGTATTGTTTTGTGGCTGGTTCATCTGCGTCAACTGGATGTTTGAGGTTTAAAATACGGTATCTATCCTTCATATCAATGTTTAAATCAACTGTCAATCGTGATGTTGTGGGTGATCCATTGGAATTATCATCAACATATTTTTTGTAGCAGCATCAGTATTAGAATTAAATGCACCTAGATTTGTGAGTCTTTTTTTATTCATATCATAATTACCATCTGCGGTTAGACTAAATCCAACTCCTGGAGCGCCCTGAATTCCCTTAGCAAAGGGATGATCAAAAGATTGTTCATTAAATGTACCCATTTATAATAATGATTACATTTTTATTAGCAGGGGAGCTCAGGGGGGTGCACCCCCCGACAAAGTTTTTTGCAATATGTTTTTTTGGTTTATCAACGTATAGGAATGAATACGGTTTTTTGGTTGCTGCTTTATAATCTTCTTTATTAACTCCTAACTCAGATGATATTCTGTTTGCTTCCCTCGATGATGGAAATTCATACAAACAATAATGAGAACAATTCAATCGAATATCTTTAGGTGTTTTATAAAAAGACTGACTTAGATAAATTACAGAGCAGATCTTATGTCTTCCTTGAATGAAATAATCAATCAGTTGTCTTTGATTTTTATCACATACGTAGTCATCGAATACTACCACCTTTTGGTTGTCTTCATATTCCATTTCTGTCACTGGGGTTATTTCATCATTACTGACATGAAGTACTTCATAACCGGCATCCATACTTATTTGTCTCATTTTTTGAATTAACTTTTGATACTTATCCAGTTCTAGGTTACGCGCGTAAAGATAAATCTCATCATAGTACAACAGTGGTTTAATTAACATGTGGTACAACAAATTAGTTTTACCACTTCCGCTGTTTCCACAGATTAACATCCGAAATGTGTCTGCTGGCATGTAAGAAAATAACTGTTTATATTTTTTATCTGGATTGTCATTGGTATCATAGTTTGGTATTTCCATTTTATCTAATATGTACATTAAATAAAATGAACATCCAAGAATACAAAAAACTTGCAATAAATAAAATTGAAGCTGATCCTTTGACTAAACAGGTGAGAGATGTAATAAAAATAACAAAATGGCAAAAACAAGATCCTTGGGAAGGTTTTAAAGAAACATTTAAACCGCTTATTAAATCTCAAGATAGCATTAAAAAAAGTATTGATGAGCAGCAAGACTCATTAATAAAACAACTTCAAGCTAATCAACTTGCTCTTACATAAGGACTTAAAAAAAAAAAAAAAAACAGGCTGGCTATAACTGAAGGATTTGATAAACTTGATGAGGTAAAAAGATGAGATTTGGCGCCATTACCTGGTTTTGAAGCAATTGAAGACCCGCCTAAAGAAGATGATGGAGTTTTACCCTCTACATCAGATGAGGGATCCCCAAAAATAGCACAATTTAAACCTGAAGACCTCAATAGATATTTAATGAATAAAGAAGCACAAGATTTACTAAAAAGTCTCGGGCACCTCAAACTCCCTTCTGAATATTTTGAAGAGGATATTTCTACCATTGATTCAGTAATTGATAATGTTAACGAAGATTTAGAGGTTACTAGTAAAGCAATAAAAAATACTGCATTTTTTAAACGTGACCCAAACGGCTATGTTTTAGCTAAACCAGTAAGTAAAAACCCCTTATGAAAACACAATAAATTTTATAAACAAATACAACGTATTAAGCATATATGCAACAAATTTAAGTAATTTAAGTAACAAAATCTGGCTCTGGAATTTTTTTGACTTTAAAAACCCACATCAACTCCTAGACAGACTTGAATTACTTGGTGGTTCAATTCTTGCTGGGAATAATGGTGTGATACCTGAGTTTTCTCAAATAGCACATCTTCTCAACCAAATGAAAGTGATCACAAAAAAACAACTAAATGATTTACTAAAAAATTATATACCAATTATATAAAAAAGGAAGAACGAGCTATCCACATTTCCTCAGAAAATCGAGAAAAAAGAGGAACAAGCAGACCTGGTGATTTTACAATCAAGTTTAATCCATCTTTGAAACTTGACCCTGAAATGAAACACGAACTTGCTCTTGATCGGTTGTCTATGACTTACTCTTGGTACAACATTAGAAGTGATTATGGAAACAATAAAATCAAATACACTCATGATGGATCCACCTGGCAAACAATTACTTTTACAGATGGAATGTATTCCTACTCAGATATTAATGATTACATTCATCAATACATGACTCAGAAAAATCATCACCCAACAGATTCCAAAGGAGAAAAAAAGTATTCTATTAATTTAACTTTTATTCTCTCCACATATAGAGTTCTCATATCACTTGATGGTGCTTATCAACTTAATCTGAGAGGAACAGAATTTGGAGACCTAATTGGATTTGAAAAGAAACTCGTTACTAAAACAGAGTATGGAACAAACCTACCAAATATCAAAAATTCGATTGATGTTTTAACGGCAAGTACAAAACGCAGGTCACAGGTCACAGGTCAGGTCACAGGTCACAGGTCAGGTCACAGGTCACAGGGCACAGGTCACAGGTCACAGGTCACAGGGCACAGGGCACAGGGCACAGGTCACAGGGCACAGGGCACAGGGCACAGGTCATAGGGCACAGAAAACAGTTAAGACACTCCATTCGGCTTTTTTGTTTTATTTCCGGTTACGCCACAATCAGGCATATGCTTGCCATCGACCATGCTTTCCGGTTTTGTACTGAGGGTTGAACAAGTAAATGGCTAAAGTTACACATTGTATTGGAACTTGAGGAGTTCCTTCTCTGGAGATCTCGAAACGAGGCTTTTTCGTCGCTCCACGCGAGCGGACTTGGAACGAGGCTCTGAGAGGAGAATGGAACGGAAAATAGCCTCGTCTGTGCAGAAAGCAACATGGCGGAAGACCAGAGTTTCGAGGTAAGAAAACAGCACTTGCTGAAAAGTTATTTTGGCCTCAGTTCCACTGAAGAACTGAAAAATAACTTAGTGAATTATCAACACACGTCTACTTCGCTAACTATCGACTGTGCTGCAATCGTGAATTGCCGATTTCGGTTTGTTGCTGCGTACATTGATGTTTAAGACTTAAGTTGTCATTAAGTTGAGCAATGGAAACATGGGATGATTCTAGCCGTAGTTACGAAATAGTGACACCTTTTAGACCAAGACCGTTTGCATAATTTGAAAGTTTTTTATATAACTATAATCTTCAAAACCTAACGTACTTGTTCGATATCGCTGTTAGCAGTCCATGCATCAGGACCGAGCTTTGTTCCATTTTATTACGCGAATGAAAGAAGATGTATAGGATATGCAATGTGGCTTTGATCATTTCTGTTTTCATTACTTTTTTTTAATTCTACAGGAAACAGATTACAAAGAAGCCGAGCTCGCCTCACAAGAATCTTACTGTTCGGAGTAAGCAATGATTTCATGGGTTTTTATTTATTTCATATGAAAAATATAGTAGGACGAAACCTTCTATGACTGTTTTGAGTACAACCAAATGTACTGCGAAATATATAACACCCTTTAAAAAAGTAGGACCATGGCCTCCCTTTGTCTTGAGTATTGGATCTAGTTATTCAACAAAAATTGTTTCCAGGTAGATTTGTGGCAGGAAAAGTTTTTCCATTGCTTATAACTGTAGTAGTACTTTCATAGGTACAAGTAAGAATGATGTTTATGTGTT